TTCTTTATGTTTTATATATCATTTTGTCGCTTGTAAAATTCTCTATCGAATGGTATATAATAGTTGGGATTTTGTTTGAGTATGATAGGGAAAAGTTTTTTACGAGAGCGGTGATGGGTCGATTTTCGCATAGGAAAAAATGAGTATTTTTGCAATAACTCAGGAACGGCTCGGCCAATCATGCTCATCTTCGAACTCGACCGAGACATTGTTAAGACTGAACTGTGTAGAATATTTCATCGCGATTGAACTCTCCTTTCAAAAGTTATCGCGTAAACGGCCAGCCGGACACACTGACCGATTCTAGAGTGTACTCACTTTTTGAGTACACAAAAATCGAACTATCATTGACATTTTTCTTTAAAAGCTATGAGTTAAAGTTTTGATTATTTTTTTCTTCTCTTCATATTATCTTTTAATGTTATGTATGATTCTATACCAATGAGAATGTAAAAATAAATTTATTTAATAGCCTTGTCATGTTGTGTATACTGATGTTCGACCAGTTCCTCTTCATCATTATATTTATCCAGCTGGTGCCGATGGTCTTCATTTAGTTGTTGATGAAATGGTAGTTGATTATGATTTATTTTTTTTTGTTTTGTTTTTACTTTCCTATGTATGTTTTATTTGTTCTTAATTAGGGTAAATTTCGTGAAGATAATTTTAGTTCAGCTATGGCAACATTACGTGATGTTGGTGATGCAGCAAAAGGTGATAAACGAGGACGACGAGGTGGTTTAAAAAGTAATTAAATTTATATTTAAAATGAAACCGAAAAGAAAAAAACAACAACAACCTTTCTTTCTTATTTATATTTAATAGCTGAAACAAATGTATTTAAAATTGTTAAAATGATTATGGAACGAAATTTAGCACCAGTTATTGTTTTTAGTTTTAGTAAAAAAGATTGTGAAACATATGCATGTGCAATAGCAAAACTTGATTTTAATTCTGGTTTGTTACAAAAAAAAAAGAAATCTTCTTTTAATTTTATTTCATTTTATATAGAGGATGAAAAACATCTTGTTGAAGAAGTATTTAATAATGCTATTGATCTTTTATCTGATGAAGATAAAAAATTACCTCAAATAAATACTGTATTACCATTACTTAAAAAAGGTGTTGGTATACATCATTCAGGTTTATTACCAATTATAAAAGAAACAATTGAAATACTTTTTGGTGAAGGTCTTATTAAAGCTTTATTTGCAACAGAAACATTTAGTATGGGTTTAAATATGCCTGCTCGTACAGTACTTTTTACAGCTGCAAGAAAATTCGATGGAAAAGAATTACGTTGGGTAAATATACAAATAGGAAAAACAAAAAAAATTCTCTTTATTTTCAACGATTTATTATTTTTTTTAAAAAAGTATGATAAATATTGAACTATAGGATTATAGTTCAATATACCAAAAGATAGAATGTGAATAGTTGAACAAAATGAAATTGTTCAATGTTTCATACTCTATCTTTTGGTATATTGCCGCGAAAAAATTGTCTAACTTGTTGAAATATAATCCTAGTAGATATTTATTACTCTTTTCTAGATAGTAAAAAGTGTATTTTGATTTTGAGCTAATGACTTTTCGAATGCATATAAAAAATAAATGCGAAAACCTCGGATTTAAATCCGAGTGTTATGTGTACTTCAAAAAGTGAAAAGGTATATTCACTGTGTTTTTTATCACTAAATTGCAAGGAGAAAATACA